GACCTGAACAACATCGTCAAGTGCCAGGCGCTGAGCGACGAGCACGTCCAGTTCCTGGTGTACCAGCTGCTGCGCGGGCTGAAGGTGGGCGTGTCGGCCTCAGGCCCTGCGGAGCCGGGAGCGGGCGCGGCGCGGGGAGGGCGCGGGGGCCGGGCTCACCACGGCCTTCCCTGCCCGGCAGTACATCCACTCGGCCGGGATCATCCACCGGGTAGGCGCAGCCGCGGGGTGCGGGCTGGGGCGCAGGGCCAGCCCTGGGCCGCGCTCACGCCTGGTGCCGTGCAGGACCTGAAGCCCAGCAACGTGGCCGTGAACGAGGACTGCGAGCTCAGGGTGAGGCCCGCGGGCCACGGGCGGGGGCGGCGGCCACAGCCTGCGAGGGTGGCCGAGAGCACCTGGGATTTGCTCTAGATCCTGGACTTCGGGCTGGCACGCCAGGCTGACGAGGAGATGACGGGCTACGTGGCCACGCGCTGGTATCGGGCCCCTGAGATCATGCTCAACTGGATGCACTACAACCAGACAGGTGCTGCCCACCCCCGAGGGCCAGGGCACCTCACGGCCAGCAGTGCTCACGTCAAGGCCGGAGAGGGTGGGGCCACAGGTCAAGGACAGGGGGCATGCCCCGCCTTGGGGGACAGGCACGGTATGGGGCCTCAGAGGACCCTGAGCTTGGAGGGTGCTGGGTGTCCTCTGGGCCTGGGTTTGCACCAACTCCTCCTGCCCAGAGTTGGACGTAGAGGAGGAAGGTTCTGCCAGTCTTTGGCCCACAGGTGGGTTTCCTGGGTTGACTCAGGGTGGGCACACTGATGGAGTCCCCCCAACAGTGGACATCTGGTCTGTGGGCTGCATCATGGCTGAGCTGCTTCAGGGAAAGGCTCTCTTCCCAGGAAACGACTGTATCCTTGGCCCAGGCTGGGAGCAGGGTCAAGCTGGGGTCCCCTCCTTGCAGGGTAGGGGCCAGCTCTGGCCTTTTCTGGTAGGACTCGCCTCCTCTGCTTCCTATGCTGTGCCCCCTTGGGCTTGATATCCTCAGCTGTAGGAGGGCAGGCTCCAGGCAGGGCCCCAAGGTCCTGGGTCTGGGGCCCGGGAGAGGCCCATGGCTGGCCAGCGGGGGTTTCCTGAGCAAGGTGCAGACATTGACCAGCTGAAGCGCATCATGGAGGTGGTGGGCACACCCAGCCCTGAGGTTCTGGCGAAGATATCCTCAGAACATGTAAGGCACTGCCCAGCCGGCCCCCAGCTCCCTCTGCTGACCAGGGCCCCGGCTGGGGGAGAGGGTGGTGTGGGAATATGGGAACACATGGGGAACACGGACACAGTGGGGGAGAGCCCAGGGTAGGCGCCCCACCCTTTCAGGGAAACAGGTGAAGGGACAGCGAGGGCGACGTGACAGCTCAGACAGTGCCCTGGTCATGGGCAGTGGGGTGTGTGGGGGCAGGGAGCACGCTGGGCCCAGCTCCTGTGGGCATGAGGGGCCAGGGAGGACCTGGAGCCACCAGATCCCCTGGGAAAGGGTTTAAGGCCTACCTGTGCCTTGCCCAGGCCTGCGGGAGTGAATGAGTCTGGGCTTCCCTTGGCCCGCCCCTTGCCCAGTGGGGGCTGGGAAGGTAGGGGTGAGCAACCCTGCAGTCCTTTGTGCCCCAGGCCCGGACATACATCCAGTCCCTGCCCCCCATGCCCCAGAAGGACCTCAGCAGCGTCTTCCGCGGAGCCAACCCCTTGGGTGAGGACGGACCCTGGGGCTAGCCTGGGCTCCACATTCGGCCTGGAGGCAGAGCTGACCACTCACCACCCCTGCAGCCATAGACCTCCTTGGAAAGATGCTGGTGCTGGACAGTGACCAGAGGGTCAGTGCCGCCGAGGCCCTGGCCCACGCCTACTTCAGCCAGTATCACGACCCGGATGATGAGCCTGAGGCCGAGCCCTATGATGAAAGTGTTGAGGCCAAGGAGCGCACAGTGGAAGAGTGGAAGGGTGGGCAGGGGCATGGGGCTGTGCGGGTTCCCGAGCCGAAATCTGCAGAGACAGGTTTGGCCTGTTTCCACTGGGGTAGTCTGGGAGGGGAACAGAGTGGGATGGGTGGAGATGGGTATGCCTGGTAGAGCTGGGGCAGCCCAGGATGGGTGGGGCTGTCAGCCCCTGGACTGAGGCTGCCCTCAGAGGCGGTGGGCCCAGGCTGGGTGGCACTGCCAGACAAGCAGGTGGGGATCGGGCTGGGGCAGCACAGCTCACGCTTCCTCCCACCTCTAGAGCTCACCTACCAGGAAGTCCTCAGCTTCAAGCCCCTGGAGCCGCCGAAGCCGCCTGGCAGCCTGGAGATCGAGCAGTGAGGGTGCCCAGTGGCCACCTGCATGCCTGTGGAAGGGCCTGAGCCTGCACCCTTCTTCCTCGAGTGGCGCACCCGCACCCCATGGCCAGACAGCCCCTATCGCGGCCCGGGACCTCTTGTCTTAAGGAGGGTGCCCACACAGTGGAATGCACAACCATGTGCACGTGTGCTTGCCGTGTGTAGGAGTCTGGGCGCAAGTATCCCTGGGCCTGCCTTGGCCCTCCTACCTGCTCCTGGCCACTGGGTTCTCCCTTGGGACCTCAGTGTAGGAAACTGGATGCCACCAGGGCCCCCTGAGGAGGGTCTGTCTCCAGATCTCTTCTATCTCAGAGGGCTGTCGGGGAGACGGCACAGGGGCCAGAGCCCCCAGAGACTCGAAGGGAGGGGCCCAGTGCTTACAGCTTGCTCAGCCTGGAAGTGGGGGCTGCCCGGTCATTGTGAAGACCCATAGGGCTAAGAGCTGAGACAGGGCAGGCTCTTCCCTGGGGGTGGCAGGGTGGGGACAGACACTAGGTGTCAATGAGGTGAGTTGCCTGGAGCCCGTTTGCCCGCAGTGTGGGCATGTGAACATGTGCGTGCACTCCCAGTACTCACGTGTCAGGGCATGTGCAGGTGCATGTGAGTGTGTGGGTGCTCAGGGCCTGCAGAAGTGTCTGGCAGGACGCCTGAGTTGGGGTGGGCACACTGTGGCCTTCCCCCATCAGTGCCTGATGCCACAAGGGGTGCTGAGACCAGGATGGGCTGCAGTGGCCAAGGGGCACCCACATGAGCAAAGCTGGACTTTCTCTTTGGATGTGGGAGCTACGGCAGGGCTCTGAGACAGGAGGACATCTGCGAGCTGGGGGACAGGAGGGGCTGCAGCATTGAGGACTCTGAGGCCGGCAGCACTCACGCATGTGGACTTGGACTTGAATACTCCGCCCCTGCACCTCGCCTGCTCTCTACCTCTGCACAGTGGCGTGGCCCTGCAGCCGGAGGTCTGAGGCGCACTGGTCTGCAGGTCAGCCCTCATCTTCCCTTCTCCCAGAACGGAGCTAGTGACCTCTGGGACAGGACCCTGCTCAGAGACATCAGAGGATGCCTCCTCTGGGAAGGTGGTGACCTCTTGCCTCCAGGGACCCAGGGAGGCCTGGGTGTCAAGTGCCTGCACCAGGGGTGCACAATAAAGAGGGTTCACTCATGCTCCGTCCGCATCCTAGGCTCCATGCCCTGCTGTCTCTGCCATCCCCCACCTGGAGGGGCGCAGAATCTCTGAGCAAGCATCACACACTTCCAGCTGGCCAGTTCCACCAGACCCCTGCCCTAGCCAGACCAGCAGCCACATTCTGGTGCTCTCCCTGCTCCCTGGAGGGTCTGAAGGCTCAAGGTGTGATGGCCACCCACCCACATGTTGACACCAATTCCCTGCGGGGATTCATGATGCAGGCTTGACTCCTAGCCCAGACACAGACCCTCCCCTTCCCTCAGTGATCAGAGAGGCTGCCAGGGACCAGTCAGTGTCTCTGGGAGGAAGCTGCCCTTCCCCAAGGGTG